CTGCTTAGCCACAGGGGGAAACTAGATCGCGACCTCTGACACCCAAAAATGTCAATTTTAAGGCTGGGCTGTAGGTCAGTGGAGTTTCCCTAGCATGGGCAATGCCCTGGTTTCATTCCCTAGCAGCCCCCTCCACACATCTATTCTACATGGAATACTTAAACAGCAAAGATTTTATGCTTTTACATGAAAACGGATATTTATTCTGACCTAAGAGTATAAGGATATTTTTAAGACAAAAATGACAGTCACAAATTGTGACAGATTCTACCATATCAAAGTTAAGGACTATTTATTAAAATTTCTGAAAGTGAGGCCAGAAGTGGTGGTGCACACTTATAATCCCAGTACTCTGGGAGGCTGAAGCAGGAGGATCAATTGCAAGTTCAAATCCAGCCTGGGCAACTTAGCGAGACCCTGTCTTAAAATAAAGAATAAAAAGGGCTGGAGATGTAGCTCAGTGCGAAGGCCCTGGGTTCAGTCCTACTCCCCCGACAACTGTTCTACCTCTGAGGCTTTTGGGAGACATTTTAGATCCAAGGCATGACAGCACATCACAAAAGAAGTACGTACGGTTCACTGATGTATGAAGAGATGCTCAATTTTACTTATATTTGGAGGAGTACAAATCAAGACAATAGTGAAAAACCATTTTTAAAGACTTGCGGCAAAATATACAAAATATAAAATTTCCCACTTTAGGTATTTTAGTATACAATTTAGTGAGATTAGGTACACTCACCATGCTGTACAATAATCATTACTTTGGTCCAGAATCTTTTTGATACTTAAAGAAGAAACTCCAGATCCAGTAAGTATTAATCCTCCATTCCAACTTTTGTGGCTGGCTTCTTTTATTTAACATATTTTTAAAGGTGTATGCATGTGGTAGTATTCCATTCCTTTTAATGGCTGAATAATATTCCACTGCATGGATATACCTTATACTTTATTTTCAATCCATTCATCAGATGATGGACATTTGAACTGCTTTCCCTTTTTGGCTATTGTGGACATTAGTGATGCAACACTTTGCATCCAATTGACTGGTAAAAATGAAGAAGACAGACAAGATGAAGTACTAGGGAGCTCTCTTCAAGATGGTGTTGCTGATGGAAATGTAAATGTGTTTAACCATGTTGGGGACAACTTCATATTCTGTTGTGAGACTGAGCACTGTGACAGTCAAGGTGGACTGTGAACTTGATTGGTTTGGGAGCTGCATAGGGTGTTAATAAAGCACAGCCCTGAAGGGCACAGTATTTGGTGGGTGGGGAGGTGTGATCCCGGGGTCGGCCTGGTCCCTCACCCCCTCCTCTCTGGCACCGCTCCATGTTCTGCTTTCCAGCCATCATGAACGAAGCAGATTTGCTCCGCTGCACCCTTCTGCCATGAGATTTCTGCTTGAGGCCAGCCGGACGTGGACTTAACCTTTTGAAACTGAGCTATATTGAAACTCTCCTTTTGACCAACGCGTACGAGCATAAGAGGAGCACAGCTATTTTGCTGAGAGACTGTATCAGGAGGGGAAGAATATCACTAGGGAGGCTGAAATTGCACAGAAGACCTGGACTGGAACAAGTTGAAATCATCGCAGAAGGATAAAGTTTGACAGTTTATGATCTTCATACAATCTAGTGAAAAAACTGCTGTAAATTGTCTTCCTCAAAATGACTGGAAGTTAGATGTTGCAAGAGATAATTTTTTCTAAAATCCTGAACTTTATATATGAGAGAGTGTAAAAGGATCACTGGACAGGAAGAAGTTAGAACAACTATACAATAGATACAAAGATCCTCAAGATGAAAATAAAGTTGGAACAGATGGTATACAGCAGTTCTGTGATGACCTGGCACTTGGTCCAGCCAGCATTAGTGTTTTGATCATTGCATGGAAGTTCAGAGCAGCACCACAATGTGAGTTCTCCAAGTCGGAGTATATGGATGGCATGACAGAATTCGGATGTGACAGCATAGAAAAGCTAACGGCTCAAATACCCAAGATGGAGCAAGAATTGAAAGAACCAGGATGATTTAAGGATTTTTACCAGTTTACTTTTAGTTTTGCAAAGAATCCAGGACAAAAAGGATTAGATCTAGAAATGGCCACTGCCTACTGGAACTTAGTGCTTAATGGAAGATTTAATTCTTAGACTTGTGGAATAAATTTTTGTCAGACGATCACAAATGATCAATACCAAAAGATACTTGGAATCTTCTTCTAGACTTCAGTACTGTGATCGCAGATGACATGTCTATTTATGATGAAGGAGGGGCATGGGCTGTTCTCACCAACGACTTTGTGGAATTTGCATGCCCTCAAACTGGTGGGACAAAAAGTACAACAATGTAACACTGAAGGAACCTTCCGGAATGTACATATTCAGTACAATAAATACAACGGAAAATTGCAGTCAGTTTCTGCTGGCTGGACTGAACTGAAGACCAAGCCTCACTATCCAGACTGAGGGTTGAGACAAAACTTTAAGGCTACATTTTGGACCATATCATACTTCATTCTTCTAATGGTGGTTTGGGCTTGTCTTATAGTCTGGGCCTCTCTACACATTTATAATTCCAACATTGTGGATTTCATCTTATCTGTGGACCATCCTAGTTTATTCTCCCATACGTCTTAGGAGCTTTCTGGTGGTTATTTTGGGGTTTCCATTCTTGCATAAAGCACAACGCTCATTTGCCATAAGAATTAAACATAATGAACATTGCAAACAATTTATAAAAACTTCTTAAATATACGCTTTGGGCTAATTGAAACTCTCCTTTCAGTTGTGGCTCTCGGACATTGAGTCCCAGCGATGGGAGAGCTGACTAATACAAACCTCATATCCTCTGCGATCCAGCACTTCCATTCTCTGGTACACATCCAGGAAAAGTTTTAGTATATAAATACCAGGAGACATACAGAAGCATGTGAACAGCAGTACTGTTCCTACGAGCAAAACATGTGAGCCATTTCTTTCAAGTTCTGTTCTACCAGAAATGAAGGAAATGGAGTGGGGTCGAGAATTTTTCTATCTTAAGATGGGAGAAAAATACTCTGCTTCTGCGCTGAAGCACCGACTCGATGGGAGCATGGAGTTCGGGTGGGGGAGGGAGAGAGAACTGCTGGGAACCTGAGGTTTGTCTTGAGCTCCGAGGGTCTGTATTAGGTACCACGACTTTCACATCTTACCTATCCCTTCCCTGCCCTTCTTGAGCTGCTCGATTAAACAGAGCAATCTACTGAGCACTCAGTGGACCCGTGCTTTCCTTTTGTGCCTCCTGTACAGAACCCAGCTGGGCCTTCTCCCACGTCACCACAGAAGTCACAGCCGACTCCACAGCCCTCGTCTTACACGGCACAGCAGCCAAAATGAGACAGCCGTGGCTACACGCAGCAGCACGGATGAATCTCAGTAACAAAACGCTGAAGGAGGGTTCGGTTAGAGGAGAACACACAGTGTTACACCCTCCTTGAGAATGTTCACATACAAGCCAGAGTACTCGATGTGCTACTGGGATGTAACAAGAGCACGCGATATCAAGGATGCACAAGTTCAAAATTCAGGTCAGTGATGACCTCTGGAATGAAGACGGGGCGAGAAAACCAGCACACAGATCTGAATCACTGCGAATCTTTCTGTTCAGTCGTCCTTAAACTTCAGTGTGCATCAGAATCCCCAGGAGAGCTGCTTAAAACCTAGATTTTGGGGGCAATCTCAGAGTTTTTGCTTCAGTAGGTGACATGGGATCTAAGACTGTGCATTTCTCTCATAGCTCTGGGGCCGCCCGTGCTGTTTTGGGCACCACCCTTTGAGAACTTCCACTTGCACTAAGGCTGAGCTGTGGGTTTACAAGGGCTCCGGCGCACTTTATTATTAAGCACATGCAATACCATCTACATTGATTTGGGGGGTCAGGGAGATCAACAGCAGAACAAAGATGAGAGGGTGTTATGAACCAGGAGTTATTAATAATCCAATTCTGAGCTCCTGAGTTCTCTCCCTGCAAGTCAGGCTTCTGTTCCTACGAGCAAACCTGAAAAACACAGTTCTAGAAAAATTTCAAGACCATTTTAAAAAGAACATGATTGCAGGGTGTTGTGGTGCATGCTTGTAATCCCAGCATTCTGGAAGGCTGACGCAGGAGGATTAGAAGTTACAATTCAACCTCGGTAATTTAGCGATTTAGTAATTTAACGATTTAGTGAGATCCTGATTTAAAAGAAAAAGTACGAACAGTTGTTTTTTTTTGGTGGTATTGAGGATCAAACCCAGGGCCTCTGCACTAAACCACGCCCCAGCCTTTTACACAGCTCTTTATGCTGAGGTATGCTAATTCGCTAAATTGCCTAGGCTGGACTGGAACTGGTGATACTCCTGCCTCAGCCTTGCAGAGTGCTGGGATTACTCGTGTGCGTTACCACTCCTGGTTTAACAACTGCTTTTGAGAAATGTCTATGAAAATTATTTCTCCCTGTACGCACAATAATAATATATTGCATTTCATCTCCCTGAATATCAATAAACTTTGGGAAGCACTTGGCAGATCACAAATATACCTCTTGTGAATTCAGCAGAAATTGTGTTCAGATAAAAGATTCCTCCCACTTCTTCGGTTCTCGGCCTTCCCTTAATTAATTAATTCCAGGTAATTAATTACCTTTCTTCCTCCCCGCCTGATCTGGTTGAGATAACACGTAGAGGACGTATGCAGAGGTCCTACTCTACGTCCTCCGGTGTGAATTCTGCGACCCGAGAACCACACTCATGCGCACAAGCAGCTCAGCGCAGAAGGGAAAACACCCGCACGCGCAGTCACAAGTCCAGGGCGGAAGCTCATCCTGCCAGCTTATCGCCAGCCTCTCCCCAGCACAGCCCCTGGGACTTCCGCCAGGGGCCCGCCCGCAGCCGGAAGCGGCGAAGGAAGGCGCCGGAAGCCGACGCCCGACAGGATTCCATTGGCTGCTGGGCCGGAAGCTGCGCGTGCTGCCGGCGCATGCGCCGCCCCCACGTGCTTCCGGGACGCCGTGTGCCCCGCTGCGGCCGGCGCGCGCGATGCTGCGAGCCTCAGTCCTTCGGGCTCTGGGGCGCCCGGCGGCCGCTAGGGTCCCTCTCCTGGGGGGCCCCGGCGCGCGCCGCTACGGCTCTGGTGCCCCGACTGTCGGCGAGGACGCGGCCCACGCGCGCGCCTACTTCACCACGCCCGTCTTCTACGTGAACGCCGCGCCGCACATCGGGCACCTGTACTCGGCGCTGCTGGCCGACGCCCTGTGCCGCCTCCGCGGCCTGCGGGCTCCCGGCGCCGCC